GCTTCTTCCAGAAAATGTTTTCATTTCTTTAGTGACCATTTCTTATAATTGTTGGAGTAGGGTGGAGTAGGAGAAGAGATTGAGGTTGTCAAGGACTTCATTCTTCTTGGATCAACTATCAACACTCGCGGAAGCAGCAGTCAAGAGATCAGACGACGTTTGCATTGGGCAAATCTGCTGCACAGGAACTTTTTAAAGTATTGAAGAGCAGAGAGGTCAGCTTGAGGACTAAGGTGCACCTGACCCAAGCCATGGTATTTTCAATAACCTCATATGGATGCGAAAGCTGGACAGTGAATAAGGAAGATCGTAGAAGAATTGATGCCTTTGAGTTGTGGTGTTAGAGGAGAATACTAAAAGTGCCATGGACTGCCAAAAGAACCAATAGATCTGTTTTGGAAGAAGTGCAGCCAGAGTGCTCCTTGGAGGCCAAGATGGCTAAGCTTCGTCTCTCCTACTTTGGACATATTGTCAGGAGAGAACAGTCACTGGAGAAGGATGTCATGCTGGGTAAGGTGGAGGGTCAGAGAAAAAGAGGAAGACCCCCAACGAGATGGATCAGCCAGGTGACATCATTGATGGCGTCAAGTGTGGCGGCGGTAGTGAGGTTGCCCCAGGATCGGGCATTGTTTTGTTCTGCTGTGCATGGGGTCGCTCTCGATGGCACCTGACAACAACAACAACAACAGGGTGGAAGAAATACATTTTCAGGAACCTTAACTATGTATATGTTAAAGATTATAAAGAAATGTTCACTAGAGAAATGAAAACATTTTCTGGAGGAAGCAGTAGGGGAAAGGTCGAATGTATATGGAGTCCTGGTGTGGCACTGCAGGACAATGCACTGGACCGCAAGGTCAGCAGTTCAAACTTACCAGCCACTCCTGGGAATCCCTATCCAGACTAGCTATGACTTGACAGCGTTACCACCACCGCCACTACCAACTATACATATAGTAGGAGCACTGGTGGCGCTGTAGGGTAAGCACTGGGCTGCTAACCACAAGGTCGGCAGTCAAAACGACCAGCCGCTCTATAGGAGAAGGATAAAGATTTCTGCTGCCGTAAAGATTTACAGCCTCGGAAACCCTGAGCAGGGTCACTATGAGTTGTAACCGACTCCACGATACTTAACAACAACATGGTTTACTCACATTTTGATTTTTTTCTGACAGAAGATTTGCATGACATTTTTTTGTTTGTTTTTGCCATTAGGACAGAAATATCACTTGTTTCATGCTTTCTGGAGATGGGCCAAGTGTAGGGATAGGAGACACTTCTCAATGCAGAATTTCTGAAATGCTCTGAAGTAGTTAATGCAATGCCTTGACTAGAACTTGTGCTTGATAAATGACTATTGGGTTAAATAATAGCCACAAGACTGTGCTGTTCAGGCCACTGTTGATTCCTCTGTCTCCGTGCATGAATCCTTTTCCTTTCTGTTTCTCTCCCCTTCCTAACTAAGAGGATTAAAGAGTCAGGTGACTCCTGTGGACCACATCTAAAGGCTTGGGCCCTTTTGTGTCTACTTTTCAGAGTCAATGGTTGGCCCTTTTCAGAGTAGGTTGGCCCTACTCATCCCTGACTTTAGTTATGGAGACTTGAGCATGACACCAGCGGTCTATCTGGGTGAATCTTCCTAGGGAGGGGAGCAGATTCCCTCTTCAGCTTATTTACTGCAGAGAAGAAACCTTCTCCCTTTGGTCTTTCTTCCTGAGATGGGAAGTTTTACTGTTTGGAGGTGTCATGACAGGAACATGAGGGGACCGAGTCTGGTTAGTTCCTTTGGAGTCCAGTGGACTGACACAGGGAACAGAGGCCCAAGGCAGGACATGTCCATTTCCCATCAGAGTGCAGAGAGTGCCACAGTTTGAATCTTTTATAGATACATCTTTTGTTATTTGTCAAGGATCCCTTTGTAGATATCTTGGAACAGGTATGGAGTCATAAGATCCAGCTGTTTGCTGAGTAGTCAGTACAGACCAGGCCTCGACCTTTTTGATGATAGTTTTCCTGCTCACTTCTCTTTGAAGAGCTTTTCATGTTTACTGTTCCAGGTGGCAGAGTGACAGCTGAAGAAGTGGGTACAGGAGTGCTCAAGACCTGCTGGATTACTCCTCAGTTGGGAGAGGGTCTCTGAGCAGGGCTAGTCAGTCATAGCAGCCATTCCCAGAGTGGCTTTGTCTCTGCCTCATTGGGCTTCAGTGTGGGAGCCGCTGTGGGGAAAGGCTGGCGTGACCCACAGAGCCTGACATAGTTGTAGGAGTAGAGGTGAGGAGGGAGGAGCAGTCTAGAACAGCACCAGCTTGTCAGTTCGGGATTTGGCAATGCCTCATCCTTGGAGCTAGAAACCTTGGACTCAAGTTGGACTCCTTTCTACTCTTTAGCCCCACATCTTGGTCCTATGAAGTCTGGCGTCCCAGTGTCTCTCATATCTGCCCTTCTCCATTCCCACAGCTTCTGTCCTAGTTTAAGTAAGGCCTCATCATCTTTCCCCTGGGCGACAATCTTCTAGTGGTTTCTCTGACCCTAGTCTCTCATTTCCCCAGTCCTATCAGAGTGCTCGTCCCAAAGCAAGGCCAGCCTGGGTCATGTTCCTTCACCAGAGCCCTCACACTCCTCAGTGCTACAGGTCCTTTAGCATGGTCTTCAGGGCTCTTCATGCCCAGACTCTGACCTGGCTTGCCACCCCAGCTTCTGCCATGTGCGCTGTTCTCAGACACCTGGCCGATCTACACATGATGTTCCCTCTCTCTAGAACACCTTTCTCTGCTGTCTGAATTTTTGTTAGCCTTCAGTCCCCAGCACCTTGACATAGCCTGCCTTCCTCCCTTCAGGGGGGATTTATGATTCCTGTCATCGTAGCGGGAGCGCTGCTCGCACAGTGGATAAATGCTGGGCTATGTAATTGAAAGATAGATGGTTCAAACCCACCAACTACTCTGGGAGAAAGATGTGGCAGGCTACTTCCATAAAAATGGTTGTTAAGTGCTGCAGAGTTGGTTCCAACTCATAGCAACCCTGTATCGAGTTTCTAAGGAGTGGCTGGTATGTTTGAACTGCCAACCTTTCAGTTATACCGTACAGCGCCATACCAGGACGACACCTCCGTAAAACCTGCAGCCTTAGAAACCCAATGGGGGCAATTTCTACTTTGTCTTGTGGAGGCCTGTGAGTCGAAATTGACTTGCCAATGAGTTTGGTTTGGGTTTTATCTTAGTAGCCCAGAGCAAGAGGCTCTTTTCCTTTCTGCTACAGTTGAAATTGTGGGTGTTACTTCCACTGAGCTATAAGCTCCCTGAAGATGTTGTGGAATGTAAGTAGGAATGACTGTTGAGACAGTAAGGTGTCCTGGTGGCTTCCATAAAGATTGTTGTGTTTGTTAGGTGCAGTTGAGTTGATTCTGACTTAGAATGCCCCTATGCACAACAGAATGAAATGCTGCCCAGGCTCTGTGCAATTGATTTGTTTAAGGCCATTGTTGCAGCCACTGTGTGGATCCATTTCCTTGAGGTCTTTTCTTTTTTTGCTGGCCCTACACACTGTGGCACTGTAGGGTAATGCATTGTACCACAAGGTCGGGTTGAACCACAAGGTAGGTGATTCAAACTCACCAGCTGCTCCTCAGAAACCCTATACAGGGTCATTATGAGTCGAAACTGACTTGACAGCACTTAATAACAACAACTCTTTGCTAAATATGATGTCCTTTTCTAGGGACTGGTCCCTCCTGGTAATGAGTTCAAAGTGTGTGAGACAAAGTCACACCATCCTGGCTTCTAAAGAGCATTCTGCTGGTACTTCATCCAAGACATGTTTGTTCATTCTTCTCCAGTCCATTCAGCATTCTTTGTCAATACCATAACTCAAGTGTATCAGTTCGTCTCTGGTCTTCTGTGTTAGTTGTCCAGCTTTCACATGCATATGAGGCTCACGTTAGTCTTCAAAGAGACATCTTTGCTCTTTTAATGCTTTAAAGATTTTTTTGCAGCACATTTACCCAACGCAGGACGTCATTCAATACCTTGGAGCATTGATTGTGGTCCCAAGTAAAATGAAATCCTTGAGAACTTCAACCTTTTCTACATTTGTCATGGTGTTATTTATTGGTCCAGTTGTGAGAATCTTTGTTTTCTTTATATTGTGGTATAACCCCTACTAACGGCTATAGCCTTTGCTCTTCAGTAAGTATTTCAAGTCCTCTTTGTAAAGATTGTTGTTGTTGTTAAGTGTTGTCGAGTCGGTTCTGACTCATAGCGACCCTGTATAGAGTTTCTCAGGAGTGGCTGGTGAGTTTGAACCACCAACCTTGTGGTTCAAACCAACCTTATGGTCAAGTGCTTATCCTGCAGTGCTACACCAGGACTCCTTGTAAAGATTGTTGTTGTTAAGTGCCGTCGAGTTGGTTCCGACCCTTAGCGACCCTGTATAGGGTTTCTGAGGAGCAGCTGATGAGCTTGAACCTCGGACCTTGCAGTTCAAACAGCTTTGCAGTCTGGTGCATTAATCCACAATGCCACATCAGGACTCAGCATTGGAAATCCTGTGAGTCAGTTCTCCTGTGTTCTGTAGGGCCAACATGAGTCAGAATGGACTCTGCAGCCATTGGTTTGGTTGAGACAGTGCGACTTTGCACAGTGGTATGCCACTGGGTGGGGGTATATATGCTACTTCTTAGTTTGGTGTCATAGGGCTTTATCTTTATAGAAAGTTCATTCTTTCTTTTCTTTTGGGTTTTTTTTGTGATTGGCTGAGTGTTTAGCAAGCCTGTGAGAGGTTCCCCTTAGAGAGCTTTCCCGGGCTGCAAGCTTTTAAGGTCTGAATGTTGAACTCCTGGTCCACCCTGGAATACCCTCAGCTCCTGGGGAGCCTCAGGCTCATTTGGCTTGCGGAGGAGTCTGATCTGATTCAGGTGCTCCATGAGCCAGATCCAATTTTTCCTTTCTAAGCTGGGTCACTGATCTTTTCCTTGGTTGTAGGTATCTGGGATCCAGGTGTTTGAACCTGGACCAAACATGGCTGGCCGACCCATCCGCATAGGAGACCAGCTGGTTCTGGAGGAAGATTATGATGAGACCTACATTCCCAGTGAGCAAGGTAAGAAGCCTGTGGTGTATTGTAACACAGGTAGTGTCCAGATTCCAAAGGAGATCATTCCCTAAGTGTATCCTTTAAATTGAGTAAGTAAGTTGGAACCAGAGCATACAGTTCTTAACTTTAGTACAAGAAAAGACTTGGAACCTTTTCAGTGATTTAAAAACTGCACATGCAGCAATGAAGGTGATGGTGATGAAAAATTTGTTTTGAGTTGGGGCTGGTTCAGTCATTAAGGACAGATTTACATAACATCAGAAGGCATTTGTAAATCAGACATTTGTAATCTGGAGACTGGTGTTCTTTGAAGGTAGGGACAGTGTTATTTTTGTACTTCCTGTGCAAAGGATGGTTCATGCACTTCAACCTTTTCTGTAGTTTTGCTTAGTATATTTGGGTCAGATCAGAGGTTGGCAAACTATATATAGCCTGTGGGCCTAATCTGACCTGTTGTCTGTTTTTATAAATAAAATTTTATTGAAGAGTAGCCATACTCATTTGTTTATGCCTGATCGATAGCTGCTTTGGAGTTCTGGTGTGGTGCTGTGGGTTAATGTGCTGGACTACAGAGTTGGTTTGAAATACAAGGTCTGCAGTTCAAGCTCACAAGCTACTCCCCGGAAATCCTATACAGGGTTGCAACCAACTTGACAGCACTTAACAACATCAACAATAGCTGCTTTGATGCTATAGTAACCCTATGATCCACAAAGCCTAAAATATTTACTACTTTGTCTTTTATAGAAAAAGTTTGATCACTCCTAAATTAAATCAGTGATTTGCTTTGAATGAAAATATAGTAAAGGATATCATAAAATAGAGTTTGTCCTGAGGCTAATTGAAAGCCTAATTTCTGAAGAATAAACTAAAGCATATTTTAAAAACAACAATTAAAGTATTAATAACAGTAATGATAACATAATTTATTGATTGTTACTATGTGCCAGGCACTGTTCTAAGAACTTTACATGTATTAATCTTTTCAACCCTGCTAGCAACTCCATTACACGTCCGCATTGTTTAACATCCATGGAAATAGGATATTGTATGATTTGGACCTTGTGCAAACACCTGTGTCCATGGGGTGCTGGGCTTCTGGGTGCAGTGATCTGTGAGACCCGCGACTTGACAACTCCCACTGTGGATTCTTCAGGGGCACTTGACTGGGTTCTAGCTGCTTGCCACTGCCTTCTCTGCTATGTATGTTATAGGAGTATACATCTCATTCTCTTTTTTTCCAAATGTCTATTAGTTGTTTCTGTTCCATTAAAGGAATATTTCATCTTTTTCTCACTGATCTGAATGTCACCTGAGTGTATTCTGGTCTACTTTCTCTTGGCCTGTCTATTCATACACTAGTGTCACCATGCTCTCAAATGCACTTTAATATGTAACCCATTGCTGTCAAGCTAATTTGGACTCACAGTGACCCTGTAGGACAGAGTAGAACTGCTCCCCATGATTTTAGTGGTTGTCAGTCTTTACGGAAGCAGAGTGCCTCATCTTTCTCCCATGGAGTGGCTAGTGGGTTTCAATCACCAATCTTTGGGTTAACAACCCAGTGCTTAACTTACTGTGCCACCTGGTCTCCTTAATTTAATATATAATAGAATGAAAACTTTATTGCACTTCTTTTTAAAAGTTTTCTTGGCTATCATATTTGTTTTATCTCCTCAAAATCTTTAAGATTAAAAAAAAAAAGGATCACCTTGTCCAATTCTGAGGAGAAGTGACTATGAGGCAACTGTTAGTATTTTGGGGTGTCTTAGGCTAGGCTTTTTAGAGAATATAACCAGTGAAGCCTACACACACACACACACACACACATGGAGTCCTGGTGTGGTGCTGTAGGATAAGTACTGGACCACAAGGTCAGTTTGAACTGCAAGATTGACTGTTCAAATTAACCAGCTGCTTCTCAGAAACCCTATACAGGGTCTCTATGAGTTGGAACCCACTCAATGGCACTAACAACAACAATATAACAATATATATATACACACACACACATATATACACACACATATACAGACAGACAAGGACATGGAATGAGATATCATTGCTGATGTCAGATGGATCTTGGCTGAAAGCAGAGAATACCAGAAAGATGCTTACCTGTGCTTTATTGATTATATAAAACCTCTCGATTGTATGGATCAAGACAAGCTTTGGACAATATTGTGAAGTATGAGTATTTTGGAACACTTAATTGTACTCCTGAGGAACCTGTACACAGACCAAGAGGCAGTTGTTCAAACTGGGAATACTTTAAATTAAGGAAAGTGTGCACCAGGGTTGTATTCTTTTACCATACTTATTCAAGTCTGTATGCCAAGCAAGTAATTTGAGAAGCCATATTTTATGAAGGGGAACATGACATCAGGATTAGAGGAAGACTCATTAACAACCTGCGATATGCAGATGATACAATCTTGTTTGCTGAAAGTGAAGACAACTTAAAATACTCAGTGATGAAGATCAAAGACCACAAAGACCACAATATGGGTTGTATTTCAATGTAAAGAAAACAAAAATCCTCACAACTGAAAAATTAGCATCAAGATAAATGGAGAAAAGTTTGACGCTGTCCAAGACTTCATTCTGCTCACATCAACCATCAACACTCATGGAAGCAGCAGTCAAGAAATCATAGGCTGTATATATAGAGATGTTGTTGTTGTTAAGTGCTGTTGACCCTGTATAGGGTTTCCAAGGAGCAGCTGGTGAGCTTGAACCACTGACCTTGCAGTTTAAATGGCTTTGCAGTCTGGCGCTATACACACACACACACACACACACACACACACACACACACACACTTATATCTATCTGTGTATATATCAATCTATCTTTGGAATCCTGGTAGTGTTGTAGGATAAGCACTGTACTGCTAACCGCAAGGTTGAAGGTTCAGAACCACCCGCTGCTCCTCAGAAACCCTATGCAGGGTCACTGTGAGTTGGAACAGATTAGATAGCACTTAACAATAATATATGCATGTGTATACATATACATATGGAGTTCTGATGTGGTGTTGTTGGATAAGCACTAGACTGCTCATCACAAGGTTGGCAGTTCAAACCCACCAGCCGCTCCTCAGAAACCCTTATAGGGTTGCTGTGAGTTGGAGCCAATTCAGTACCCTACCATCTTACTTACCAATCTTGGATTCATCAGCCTCCACAGCCCATGAACCAGCAACCTGTTATCTGACCTGCTGATCTTGAGATCATCAGTTCCTAGGGCTCACTCATACTCTCTCTTCAAGGTTATATCAAGTCCCAAGTCTGTGGGTCAGATGTGATTCTGGAGGTTTCTGCTGCTTTGTGGGCCTAACGTCCTAAGATTGTAGGAAATGCAGCCACTGGCTCAAGTCCAAAGACCTGGAGGTCAGATGATGATGAGTCATGCAGGATGCTGATCAAGCACAAAGCATGAGAGCTTTGCCGCAGTGTCCATATATATGGGAATCAGGGCACACCCCTGAAGAAGCTCTCTTTCAACTGATTGGCTGCTCATAGTCGATCTCATTGGGGGTAGGGGCAGGGGTGGGGGGTGGGGAGAGATGACTGCATCATAGCTGCCTGACCATTGAGAATCATAGCCCCACCAAGTTGATACACAACCTTAACCATTACAGTCCACCCCTTGTCCATTTGGCAATTGCAAACATTTTCTTAAACCATACATAATCTCTAATAAAGACAATTATAAGTCATACCTGTATGTAACATGATACAATGGACACACCACTGAAAATTTCACTAGCTTTATTTACATTGTATATTTTATTTGTGAGGAAAACAAAAATATTTGATGCACACATACAAGGAAGAGATTCTATCAGCAATTAACAATTCTTGTTCCTGTGGTCATACCTGGTTCCTAGCACTGTCTACTTCCACCACCCATTTTGCATTCCCTTTGCCCTCAGCAAGTACCACAGCTGGTCATGGTTCTTTGCCTGGTGGACTGATCCAAACCTTCATTCCTGAAGGATCTGGGCCATTAGTACTCATGTCAGAATTGGATTGCTGTAACTTTCATTGATTTTAATCACAGGGTATGGCAGTACTAAGAGATATCCTAAGGAATCTCCTGTGTTACAGAATGCTCTTCTTTACCTCCCTGATGTAGCAATCTGAATTCCCCTTGGTAACAGGATCAGTCACACCAGCCAACACAGTAACTCCTTTCTTTGCCTGTTGATCTATAGGCATTAAGAGCCCAAAGTGACTAGGTGGGTAGCTTTAATGAGCAGAAATTTGTTTTCTCTAGTTTAGGAGGCTACAAGTCTGAATTCAGGGTATCAGCTCTAGGGGAAAGCTTTCTCTCTCTGTTGTCTCTGGAGGTAGGCCCTGGTCTTTTTGAACTTCAGCTCCTGCGTAATCTTCATGTAGCTTGGTATCTTGGCATCTCTTGTCCTCCGTCTCTGCTTTCTCTCTTGGCTTGTTCAGTCTTTTAGATTTCAAAAGAGATGGGCTCAAGACACCAAACCCCAAATCCACTACAGTTGAGTTGCTTTCAACTCATTGTGACCAGAACTGCCCCACAACGTTTAGAAGGCTGTAATCTTTTTAGAAGCAGACTGCCAATCTGTTTCTCACAGAGTGGCTGATGGGATACCGCTGTGTCACAGGGTCTCATATTAAGATGTTGTTGTTGTTGTTAGGTAAGGTGGAGTCATTTCCAACTCATAGCGACCCTGTATAGGGTTTCCAAGGAGCAGTTGGTGAGTTTGAACCACTGACCTTGCGATTCAAACCTACTATTTAGTCCAGTGCTTATCCTACAATGCTATATACCAGGACATACCGTACACTAATACTATCTTATTAATACAACAAAGCCCATTCTCACAGGTATAGGAGTTAGGATTTACAACATATATTTTGGGGAGACACAATTCATAACACTCGTTTACTTTCATTAAAAGTTTCAATTCTTGTTTATTTATCTATTTACTTCTTTATTGGCAGTCTTTACTGCTAAAATGCAATCTCCATAAGGATAGTGACCATCTTTCTCTTATTCAAGGCCATTCAAAGTGCCTGGCATATGGGAGGTGCTCAAAAATATTTGTGAAATCAGTGCTATCAATTCATCTCTGGCCAGCCATGGTACCTTGAAGAAAGGTTTTTTCTTTCCCACTCTCCTGGTGCCACCACTCATCTGTCAGTTTGTCATACTGTGGTGGCTTGCATGCCTCTGTGATTCTGGAAGCCATTTTAGTTTTTAAAAACCAGCAGTCAGGGTCACCCATGGGGAATAGGTTTCAGCAGAGAACTTCTAAACTAAGACAGACTATGAAGAAAGAGAGATGAACTACTTCTGAGTATTTAGCCACTGAAACCCTTATGAATAGCAGTGGAGTATTGTCTGATTAGTGCCAGAAGATGAGCCCCTTAGGTTGGTAGGCACTCAAAATATAACTGTGGAAGAGCTGCCTCCTCAAATTAGAGTTGCCCATACTGATGTGAATAGAGTAAACCTTTCGGGACCTTCATTTGCTGATGGGCACAATTCAAAATGAGGTGAAACAGCTGCAGACATTAGTTATCAAAACATGGAATGTACAAAGTTTGAATCTAGGAAAATTGGAAGTTGTCAGTAATGAAATAGAACGCATAAACATCAGTATCCTAGACATTGTTGTTGTTGTCAGGTGCCATCGAGTCGGAACCGACTCATAGCAACCCCATGCACAGCAGAACGAAACAATGTCCGGTCCTGGGCCAACCTCACTACCGCTGCCACACTTGACACCATCAATGATGCCACCTGGCTGATCCATCTCGTTGGGGGGTCTTCCTCTTTTTCTCTGACCCTCCACCTGACCCAGCATGACATCCTTCTGCAGCGACTGTTCTCTCCAGACAATGTGTCCAAAGTAGGAGATACGAAGCTTAGCCATCTTGGCCTCCAAGGAGCACTCTGGCTGCACTTCTTCCAAAACAGATCTATTGGTTCTTTTGGCAGTCCACGGCACTTTCAGTATTCTCCTCCAACACCACAACTCAAAGGCATCAATTCTTCTACGATCTTCCTTATTCACTGTCCAGCTTTCGCATCCATATGAGGCTATTGAAAACACAATGGCCTGGGTCAGGCGTACCTTAGTCCTCAAGCTGACAAATTCAAGAGGAATGTCATTCTGTTCATCATCACAAAGAACATGTCAAGATCCATCTTGAAGCATAATGCTGTCTGTGATAGGATAATAACCATACACCCACCAGAAAAACCAGTTAATGCCACTATTACTCAGATTTACTCACCAACCGCTAAAGTCAATGGTGATGAAATTGAAGAATTCTGCCAACTACTTTAGTTTAAAATTGATCAGATATGTAATCAAGATGTATTAATAATTACTGGTGATTGGAATATGAAGGTTGGAGACACAGGAAGGATCAGTAATTGGATAATATAGCCTTGGTGATAGAAATAATGCTGGATAGAATTTTGATATAATTTTGCAAGACTAATGATTTATTCACTGCAAATATCTTTTTAAAACAACATACACATGAACCTTACCAGATGGAATACATAGGAATCAAATTAATTATATCTGTGGGAAAAGACAGTAGAAAAACCTCAATATCATCAGCCAACGCAAGGCCAGGGGAAGACTGTGGAACAGACCATCAATTGTTCAAATGTAAGTTCAGGTTGAAGCTGAAGAAAATTAAAACAAGTCCATGAAAGTCAATGTGACCTTGAACATACCCTACCTGAATTTAGAGATCATTTCAAGAACAGATTTGATGCATTAGACACAAATGACCAAACAACAGAAGAGTTGTGTTATGACATCAAGAATATTGTATGTGAAGAAAGGGAAAATCAGGAAAGAAAGAAAAAACTAAAATGGATGTCAGAACAGACTGAAATTTGCTCTCCAATGCAGAGATGAAAAGGTGAATGGAAGAAATAAGGAAGCAAAAGAGTTTAAAAGAAAATTCCAGAGGGCAGCTTGAGAAGACAAAGTCAAGTATTATAATGAAATATGCAAAGACCAATAAACAACATTCTTATCAAAGGAGAAAAGATTGAAGTTGTCAAGGACTTCATTCTTCTTGGATCAACTATCAACACTCGTGGAAGCAGCAGTCAAGAGATCAGACGATGTATTGCACTGGGCAAATCTGCTGCACAGGAACTTTTTAAAGTGTTGAAGAGCAGAGATGTCAGCTTGAGGACTAAGGTAAGCCTGACCAAGGCCATTGTGTTTTCAATAGCCTCATATGGATGCGAAAGCTGGACAGTGAATGAGGAAGATCATAGAAGAATTGATGCCTTTGAGTTGTGGTGTTGGAGGAGAGTACTGAAAGTGCCATGGACTGCCAAAAGAACCAATAGATCTGTTTTGGAAGAAGTGCAGCCAGAGTGCTCCTTGGAAGCCAGGATGGCTAAGCTTCGTCTGTCCTATTTTGGACATATTGTCCGGAGGAAACAATCGTTGGAGAAGAATGTCATGCTGGGTCAGGTGGAGGGTCAGAGAAAAAGAGGAAGACCCCCAACGAGATGGATCAGCCAGGTGGCATCATTGATGGACTCAAGTGTGGCAGCGGTAGTGAGATTGACCCAGGATCGGACATTGTTTTGTTCTGCTGTGCATAGGGTTGCTATGAGTCGGTTCCGACTCGATGGCACCTGACAACAAACAACAAATGCAAAGACCTGTAGTTAGAAAACCCAAAGGGAAGAACATGTTCAGCATTTCTCAAGTTGAAAAAAGCTGAAGAAAATTCAAGCCTCAACTTGCAATATTAAACGATTCTATGGGCAAAAAATATTGAATTATCAGAAATCATCAAATGAAGATGTAAGGAATACATAGTCACTATACCAAAAAGAAATGGTCAGTGTTCATTCATTTCGAGAGCTAGATGTGATCAAGAGCCAATGGTACTAATGGAAGAAGTCTAAGCAGCACTGAAGGCATTGTTGAAAAACAAGACTCCAGGAATGGGTGGAATACAGATTGAAATCTTTCAACAAACTAATGCAGCACTGGAACATTCACTAATCTGTGCCAAGAAATTTAGAAGACAGCTACTTGGCCAACTGATTAGGAGATATTCACATTTGTGCTCATTCCAAAGAGAGGTGAACCAAGGGAATGTGAAATCATTAAACAATATCATTACTATCGTATGCAAGTAAACATTTGTTGAAAACAATTTAAAAACGACTGCAAGAGTACATCGACAGGCAGCTGTCAGAAATTCAAGGCATATTCAGAAGAGGATTTGGAAAGAGGGATCTCATTGCTGACATCAGGTGGATCTTGGCTGAAAGAGAATACCAGAAAGATATTTCTTGTGCTCTATTGACTATGCAAAGGCTTTCAACTGTGTGGATCATGACAAGCTATGGATAGCATTGTGAAGAATGGGTGTTCCTGATCATTTACTTATGTTCATGAAGAACCTGTACATATATGGATCAAGAGACAGTTGTTGAAACAGAACAAAGACCTACTGAATGATTGAAAATCAAGAAAGGTGTATTCTTTCACCATGTTCAATCTGTATGCTGAGCAAATAATCTGAGAAGCTAGATTAGGTAAAGAAGAACGTGGCATCAGAATTGGAGGAAGACTCATTAACAACCCGCGATACGTAGATGATACAGCCTTGCTTGCTGGGAGCAAAGAGGACTGGGCAGTGTTTCATTCTGTTGTGTACAGGGTTGCTATGAGTCGGAATAGACTCAGCGGCATCTAACATCAACAACAACTTTTATGGTAAACCACCGCCTTCTTTCTACCCCCTTAGCTCATAGTTCACATTTCTATTGTAGCAGATACTACTCTGAACTCTGTGTGTTTGTAAGGTTCCCCAAGGCTTAGTCATCTACAGTTTAAGACATGCTTGCTGAGTGAGTAATTAGTGATTTTGCAAATCTTGGAAGAGTTTATGTCCTGTGGTACTGCTGTCCTCATCTTAGAGAGCTCTGGCTGTGGCTCTTGAAGTTCTTCTGAGACCCTTGCTACATTGACATCTTCATCTTACTTATATCTTTCTTATACTAGGCTTCATATATTTTCTTGGAGTATAACAATGGCATGCTTTGATTCAGGTGTATCATTTATAAACTGTGATTTAAGGGAAAAGTTATATGTGCTTATGGTTTATATTAAGAGAAATCATACCTGTTCATGAAAGAAAATTTAGAAAGTAAAATCAAAGTAGAAAAAGTCTGTTGTGAGTTTTGTTTTTCCAATCGCCTTCCATCTTTCTTACCTTCCCCACCCTTTTGCCTCTCCATACAGAAATTCTTGAATTTGCCAGAGAGATTGGTATTGATCCCATCAAGGAACCAGAATTGATGTGGTTGGCACGGGAGGGTATTGTAGCCCCACTGCCCGTGGAGTGGAAACCATGGTAAGTCAGCACCAGATGTGGATGGCTCACTGACTTGACTTGTGAGAGGCCTTGGGAACCTGACATTGGAACGCAGCTTTAACAGGTCACCTTCTCCTAGTCTGTCCTGCACAGAATCAGGGACAGCAACGTGCCATTTCTTTGCTAGGCTATCTGAAGCTTTGGGCCTGAGCATAGGCTGATTTAAGGGTCCTTTTGGTGAAAATGATTAATTCCTTGGCTGGTAATAGAAAGGTTGGAGTTTCAAGTCTACCTAGCAGTACCTTGGAAGGTAGGCCTAGTGATGCAGTCTGACATAGTGGGGTCACCCTGAGTTCACATTGATTCTACGGTGACTGGTTTGGTGTTGGGTTATAATGGGGTTTAGTACCTGTATCTAGGAGCTCTGGTAGTGTAGTGGTTACGAATTGGGCTACGAACGGCAAGGTCAGCAGTTCGAAACTACCAGCTGTTCCACAGGAGAAAGATGAGGCGTTCTGCTCCTGTAAAGATTTACAGCCTCAAAAACCCTGTACAGGGTTGCTATGAGTCAGAACCAACTCCACAGCACACAGCCACAGTACATGTATCTAGAGTCAAAGGATCTGCTGTCCTGGGTCATGCTCAGGAGGTGTCATTATTCTTTGCATTTTGATGTTGAGAATGACAGCTATACTTCTTTAACCCACTGCCATTGAGTCAATGCTGGCTCATAGTGACCCTGTACCTATACCCTATACCTCTTTAGTATGTCCAGATGAATGCTGGTACTTCAGAGGTTTGTGGTAAGTTTATGAAGACAAAGAGTTTCTTTCTCCTTTGGTGACCTACTCTAGCTTTGCTGTCCTAGAGTTTGTGTAACGAATTCACGAATAGTGTCTTAGTAACTAGTGCTGTTGTAACACAAATTCCACAAGTGGATATCTTAAAAAAAAGAAATTTATCTTCTTACAGTTCTGAAAGCTGAAAGTCCAAATCAGTGTCCTGGCCGTGTCTATGCCTCTTTGTAGATAGCCTGGGCATTCCTGGGTTCTTGACCTGTAGACCATCCTCACATGGCTACTATCTTCCCCAGTATACATTTGCCTCTGTGTCTCATCTGCTTGTTTTATAGTTCAAAAGTTATTAGGTTTAGGACACACCCTATAAAGGTATGGTCACATTAACATAACAAAAACCCATTCCCAAATACTCAGGATTCCAGCATTTTTCTTTGGTGACAAGGGGTTGGGGGATGGGACACAATTCAATCTCTAATAAATAAGTCCATGTTTATGAATTTGTTCTATGTTCAGTATTAGTTAGAACTCTTTGGAATCCAAGGAACAGAGACACTCTCAAGTTGTCTCAAGGAAAGAAGTTTATGGTGATGAAACTCAGACTGGGAGAGCAAAAAGCATTTGTGGTTGCTATTCCTGTCTCCTTTCTTTTTTATCTGTGTTTTTAAACTTTCTAATGTGAATTGGGTGAAGGTTTACTGAGAAGATCAGTTTTCCATTCAGCAGTTACTACACATTTTGTTTCATGTTACTGATTGCAATGCTTATAATTTACCCCACTTCCTCCCTGTATTTCCTGTTTCCATTCCTCCTCCTTTCTTATCTTTCTTATCCCTAGTGTTACTGTTCCTCCTGTGTTGTTGTTGTTAAGTGCTGTCGAGTCAGTTCCGACCCATAGCAACCCTGTATAGGGTTTCCAAGGAGCAGCTGGTGAAGTTGAACCACCAACCTTGCAGTTCATATGACTTTGCAGTCCAGTGCATTAACCCACAGCGTCACACCAGGACTCCATTCCTCCTGTAGACTTGTCTGTGTGGCTGAAAATTGAGCCACAGGGCTGAGTTCATTTCCAGACCTGAAGGGGGACTGAGGACCATTGTCCCTGGGGTTCCATCAGTCTCTATCTGACCTGAAGCCTGGCCTTGCTTTGAATTTTTTTTATGATTTTGAGGCTTGTTCCACATTTTTCTCCCACTGTATCCAGGACCTTGCGATCTAATAGGATCCCTTTCAGAGCAGTTAGTCGTGGTGACCAGTCACCGTCTAGTTCTGGTCTCAGGGTTGTTGTCTTCTTCCTTTTCCTTTGCACTGCCTGGTATCCCAGTTATGGTGCTACTGTTGTCTCTGTCGCATCTCCTCTAATATCCTGCTTTCTCTTCATGTATGTAGGGTCCTGGTGTGGCACTGCGGGTAAGTTAATGCACTGGACTGCAAGGTCGGCGGTTCAAGCTCACCAGTTGGTCCTCGGAAACCCTATACAGGGTTGCTATGACTCAGAACTGACTCAACAGCACTTAACAAACAATAACAACAAGAGCTCGTTTCAACTTATCACTGAAATGAGTGCTAGAAGTGGAATTTCCCTGTGTTTATCACAAACTTGTCTCCCAGTGTCTTAGAGGGGCCCCTCTTTGGCTGATATGTGCAATTTTTGTACAAGGTGTAATTCTCTTGACTCATACTATTATTACTTTGGCCACACTTCAAAATGACTGCAGTTAGAGCCTTGCTCTTCTCAGCTGAAGAATCCTAATCCCTTTAGCTTTTCCTCACATGGCAGTCTCCCTGTTTTCTTGATCTTTTTAGCTGCCTTTCCTTGGACCTTCTCCATTATCCTGACATCTTTCTTACAGTAAATCTGCCAGTACTGCACACAGTATGTATCCCTGATGCCGAAGACTTCTGGTTGTGTTTGTAGGATGGTAGTTTCTGCTTTGTTTCCAAGACCCATCTTGATGGAAGGAAGGAACCGTGTTGGTACCAGGCTCTGTGCCAGCTGTCTTTGAGTACACGCTAGTGGTGACTAACACTTTCTTGTCTTGTAAGGAGAGAGCATGGATTGTTTTTGTTTTTCACTTTTAAAAAGAAGTCATTAGACCTTACATATACTGTCCTCTTTTACCCTTAACTCCCTTTCCCAAGGATAGTCACTATTAATTGAGGAATTTAATCAATTTTCTAGAATGGCTTATACAGAATGGACATTTCTTCCTTAAATGTTTGGTAGAATTTGCCAGTGAAGCCATCTGGATCTGGAGTTTTCTTTGTGAGCATATTTTAAACTACAAATCCCATTTTTTTAATAGATATTAGGGTATTGAGGCAATTTTTCAATGAGTTTTAGTAGCTTCTAAGTTGTTGAATTTGTTGGCATAACATTAAGCTTGGAGATAGTATTGTTTTATCAGATATCTGTGGTTATATAACCTAGCTCATTCTTGATATTGGTAATTTGTAATTTCTCTTTTCTTTTTCTGATTACTCTGGCTAGAGATTTATAAATTCTGTTAATCTTCTCAAAGAACCGGTTATGCTTTATTTGCTTTTCTCTTTTTTTCTATTTCCTTGATTTCTACTCTGATCTTTAATATTTCCTTTGTTCCTTTGTATTTTAGATTTAATTTGTTCATCTTTTTCTAGTTTCTTAGGTTCACTCTTAATCACCATGTTGTTGTTGTTAGGTGCCATCTAGTCGGTACCGACTCTTAGTGACCCTATGCACAGCAGAAGGAAACACTGCCTGGTCCTAGGTCAACCTCCCAATTGTTACCACGCTTGAGCACATTGATGCTGTCACTCTGCCAATCCATCTTGCTGGGGGTCTTCCTCTTTTTCTCTGACCCTCCACTTTACTAAACATGATATCCTTTTCCAGTGACTGATTTCCTCCTGACAATATGTCCGAAGTATGATAGACAAAGTTTGGCCATCCTGGCCTCCAGGGAGCACTCTGGCTGCACTTCTAACACAGGTCTGTTTGTTCTTTTGGCAGTCCATGGCACTTTCATTATTCTCCTTCATAGCTATGTAATAAGCGCTAGCATTGATAGGGCAAGTGCTTCCTATATATTCTTTAAATTATCTTGGTAATTCTTGGTCCTTTACTCTTCCATGTGAAATTTAAATTCTCAAATTCTACCTAAGTTTTTATTGTGAATTATGTGATAGTTTACATGGGAGAACATTAGCTTTACATTCATCCTGTCTTATTTTGTTTCATTGCAATTTCAGTTCCCTGCATGTATCATCAAACAGCCAAAGGGTATACCCCACAAGCCTGCCCCCTGGCTGTCAGCACACAGCCCCTCTCTCTCCCAGAGTCCAGAGTCCCCAACCACTCCATCTCTCCATGTCTCTACCTCCATCTCTGGCGTCGCTGCTTCTCTGGATAGGGTCCAGCACTCTGCTCTTCTCCCTTGATGGTCCCAGGGTCCTCCACTCCTGGACTGCAAGGTCAGCCACTCCCTTCCTTTTGTTACAAAATGTCTACCTTTACCTTTGCAAAACTCACAATCAGTCCTGATAGCAATTATTCACTATTGAACCACAAGAATTTTATCTACATCTCCTTTCACCAGCCCCGTCCAGACAGGTTGGAAACCACTCAGTGACGATTCTACCTTCCCCCCATACCCTCTGAAATTAGGCTCCCTCTTGAAAGCTTGTAAGCCAGTCACTTCGTGCCTTTGTAGCCCCCCATTTTGGGTAGCCAATGTCTAAGTTGCCCATCCCTGTCAACCCTGTGTACTGAGGAGGTGGGAATGATCCTCGCTGTAAAGATTTGTTCCCTCTTTTAAGCTACTACATCCACAAGCATAGGTCAAGTTCATCAAATTGTAGCGGATTACTCTTTTTTTCCTCTTCTTTCTTCTTCTAGTTGAGTTCTGGTCATCCAGCCATTGAAGCCAGGTCAGATGGGTACTATCTGCAAGTATGGGTGTCCTTGTGCATCTCCCCTCACTTCATAACAGCCAGACCCTTCACGCTCCGCTCTATTCCTCTGTGGCCATGTCCCTGTCCCTGGGCCCAGGAGTCCCCAGATCTTGCCATACTGCTGGCCAACCATGTCTCAACCCAGGTTGACAAGAGTCTATTGAACGTGGTCAGACTTAGATCACAACTTCATTGCTGTTTTCCCCCCACTTCCCCTTATTCGGTGATCAGTGTGGTCAGCAGCAGGACCACATGCCTTGAATCTTAGTCTTGGATGGAGGTTTTGCCCTGAGGGGACCTGACCACTTA